ATTTCCAGCTTTTTTAAAGTAGCTGTCTAATTGTGGATGGTCGATTGTTGATTCGTTTGTCCGAAAGCCGCACTGATAGTCTCCTATTATCTCATCTGTGAATAAGGTTATTCTTGATGGGATTATATTTGATAGAACTTTGTATGATAAATGTTTATGAGGGATATTCCTCTATAATTTTTCCATATCATTCTGTTCCTTTTTTGATGTAAGTGGATTATTATGCTTTCTTTCCAGCCTTTTGGGATCTTCTTGCTTTTCCAGATAGTTCTTATGAGTTCGTGCAGTTGGGATGTGGCTATGTTTCAAGAATTCGATGGTTATCGTGTCTTTACCCGGAGACTTATTGTTTTTCAACTTTTTCATAGCGTTCTAAATTTCCTTTCGAGAGGAGTATTCTTCTAGCATTTGCGCAGTTTGCAAGCTGGCCGGTTCTTCGTTGTTTGTATAACTCTGGTTAAGTAGTTGGTTAAAGTACTCTTTCCATGTTTGCAACATTTGCTCTTGCCTGGTTACTAGGTCTTCGTTGTCGTCCTCGATGATATTATTGGTTCTGAGTCCGGAGCCATTTTTTCTTGTTCTTATTGTCTTTTATAGAATGTCCTCGTATTGTTCCTTCCATCGACTCCCAGCTTCTGCAACTCCTGATCTTGTTATTATCTTTTTTCCTTCCTAGTAGTTTAATAGCCTTTCTTCTTATTTGTATGAGCTTACTGTTATTGTCTTCGGTAGGATCCTACATCATCACTAGTCTTGCATTATTCCCCTCCCTAAACACCCTCTCACGTTGCGATCATACCAGTGGTATCTATTTTTGTTTTTTGGCTTTACTTTCACAGTCACTTTTGCTGCTGCCCCTATGACTGCTCGTGTTTTTGTCATCTGTGTTTGTAATTTCTTGGCTTCAGTGCTCTATTTCCGCCTGGAAACTCCTTCTAATTTTATTCTACAATTTTGCTGTTGATCTTGTTTGGATTGTACATATTTTGAGATTGACATTCTGATTCTCAGCTTTGCCCTAACAAGAAATGATCCGAGTCCGCGCCTGCCCCTCGACAGCTTCTTACATACAGGAAGTTGCTTCCATGCCTTGCAATTACGACGTGATCAGTTTCGTTTTTGGTTCTAACGTTATTGAAATTGGTCTCTTTATGGATATCTTGTTGTTCATGGTCTCTGTTTATTAATCATAGCTAACTCAAATTGAAGCCGGCTTTCCACGACGCGGGACTTGGCGAGTCATCGGTTTGGCAAGTTTGCAAAGTGGCAAGTCGACGAGCTGTGGATACTCCCACGGCGCGTTTGATAGCTTGCAACTTTACTCACTAAGTATTTGATTGCGCTCGACGCACCCACTGGATTCGGCATTGTTACATCGAGAAAGTAAAATGATGACACGCCAACAGAATATTTTATACTTTAATTGCTTTCGATTCTCTTCCAGCTATCGTGCACCAAACTAGAATGCACTAGCCCGTTTTCACGACTGTACAACATTCGATCAGAAAATCGATTTCGTTATCTGCCTTTCAGCTCCAGCGTCGGATACCCAAATCGCTGTGCGAACCCACTAAATAGAGCCAGTGGAACTCTGTGTCAGTAACGAGAAACCCCTACAACCCATCGCCAACTATGGTCAAATTAGCGAAAATAGGAGTGCCCTTTTTTTAATTTATTTCTCCTTTCATTTTCCTTGTCTATATGAATATATAATTATTATATTGATATTATCGCATTTTGCAATTTTGTTCTTGCGTTCCCTTTTCTTGAGGCTGCTCTCTATCTCTCTGGAACTGCTTTTGCTTTATGTATTTTGCTTTGTCTATCCTCGTTCGTATGTTTCGATTTTCGCTTTCTTCAATTTGTCGCTTAGCCCTGTTGTGCCTGTCAGATGTCTGTGTCTTTCATTGCCGCCTATGCCCATTTGTTTATTTTTCGGACCTGCCCTGTCAATATTTTATTGTCGCTTACTCGCTTCTCAGGTTTAGCCGGAGATCGCCATATTCCCGATCTCTAGCTCATCGAGGGTGCAGATCTCCCTCACATTGAAAATATTGCAATCTACAAAAGGTTTGTTTGTTTGTGTTGTTCGGGGCAGCACTTCCTGCTTTGGGGCGTTCGTTTGTGAGCGCTTTATATGGTTTATCTGCTATAATCTGACATATTACAGCTAAGTTCAAGTTAGTGAGACACAAACAAAAAAACCTAAAGTCTCATTATTCAAAATTTTAGTTTTGATTGTAATATAAAGATTGCTATTCTAATAGAATTCTAGATGTAAATTGAGCCTATATGGAGATTCTTGTCAGGAATCAATAGACTTCAAACAAGGCTCTTCATTTAAAGTCATTTGAGTTTTCTGATATTTCCAAAGATTTCGAAGGCCTAAAAATGTCTCAAGGCTTGATTTCGAGGATTTTAAGGCTCTTGACATGAAACTCCCAAGATTCCAATGATCTTGAAAGACTCAGAAAAGTGTCTTATAAAATTCATAACTTGAAACTTTTTATTTTAAAGACACAACACTATAGACTTGTAGAGCTCTAAACTCAAGTCTAAAGTCTCCACATTTTTTGTTCAGCAGAATCCGAGGGGGTAGTTACTGTGCAAATCTTCTGTCCTACGGGATGGGGATCTCATGTCATAAAGATCCGTAGAGATCTTTGGAAATCCATGAATATCCGTGGATATATCAGAGAAAATGTCCAGTAAATCAAAGTAGATATAAATAGCCGGTTCTGCAACCTCCGTAATCTGTCTGGTGACTGACAGGTAACTTACCTGTTGATCAGCTGGCAATCCGTTATTTGTCATTCGCCATCCGCGCCATCTATTCATTCTGGTTATATGTTAACCAGGTTTAGGAGTTCTCTAATTTATGCTTTATCCTTGTCGTTGGTGCTGCCCTGCATGAGTTGCGTCGCACGTGTCTCCAATATGCGCTTTGCCTTAAGGTCCAGAATTCCTGCAGTTCAAAATCGCGAACAGCAGATGCTCTGGTTGAGATCTGAGAAAATCTGCCCCAAGAGATGATTGATGATGTCATCAGAAGCATGAGGAGACGAATGACTGCTGTCATAAGGGTGCGTGGAGGCCACACGCGTTATTGAAAGATTCATTTTTTCTGGTTGTTTGAATCGTTATTGTTCGTTGGGTAATTGTTAATTGTGATTTATTTTGCAATTGGTTCCCAACTCTACAAATGAAAAGAAAAAACTCCAACTTGATTTTTTTTGAGTTGATGTCAAGGTGGAAAATTCGTGATTTTACTTGAACAAATAATTTCCAGTGGTTCACTCCACAGAGAGTCTCAAAAAACTCTGAGAATTAATGACTTTTTTTTCATCCCTGTATATGAGATAAAGACGAATCATTTAATAACGGTAATACGTCAGAAGTCTTCCCATACTTCTTCTTCTCCCATTTTTTTTTTTTTTTTTTTGGTCGGAGAGGTTAGAGCACTGTAGCAAAGTAGCTTCGGTTGTTCTTTTTCCTGTCTGCACTCCCTCTTTAGAAATATCATGACCTAAATATTCGAACCTTTCTTTGAAAAAATTAAATTTTGACTATGAGCAGCTAATGCTCGAAACACCTCTCTTAGACTTGACAATCCTGTATCAAAATCCTTGCTTGGAAAAAAAATATCATCCAGGCATGCATTGGCCTTTCCATACCTCAAATTGCCTAAAACTCTATTTATAGTTCGCTGAAATATTGCAGGTGCATTACATAAGCCAAGTGGGACCCTTAGGTATTCGTAATGGCTATCTGGCGTAATAAAAGCTGTCTTTGAGATGTATGACTCTTCCATTTCAATCTACTGATAACCACTTGCCAGATCTAAGCATGTGAAATATTGACACTTCTTTAAACTTTCCAAAAAACATCTGTTTGTGGAAGTGGAAATCGGTCTTCAACATTTCTAGCGTTGAGTGCCCTAAAGTCAACACACATACGCTGCTGGCCATTCATTTTCTTCACCAACAATATAGGACTCGAGTAAGGAGAGTCTGATTCACGAATTATTTTACTATGCAATAAATCCTCCACAGTTTGTCTCACAACTTTTCGTTCATTCAGGGAAAGACGGTAAGGTCTATATACTACAGGTGTATCATCAGTAAGATGTATAGACATTTTTAAAATATCAGTTTTCCCCAGTTCAAAAGTTCTTGATTGGATAGAGTGATCATGGAAATAAATCCATCAGAAAAATCAAGCTACAATCTGTGAAAAATTAATCGAGCGGAGGATTTAAGAGAAAATTGATGTCAAACTTTTGTCCGTTCCCCTAATTTTGACGGTGTGTGTATTTTAGCCGATATTGTTCATTAGTTCATTCTTTGTCAGTATGGTAAAATTTTTAATTTTTTTCCGAATAGGTAAAGTTCGTTTCACGATGATTCAGACTTTTGACATCGAAGACGTCATAACTTGAAAACAAAAAGGGTTTTCGTAGATTAATTCAAATGACATTCAATTTTTTTGACAAATTAAAATGAATCACTTCTGGTTTAAGAACCGAAGAACTCTTTTGAGGTCATTGATTTGTTTTTGTCAATTTCTATTTGTTGAAAAAGGAAGGCAAATTATGTCAAAAGTATAAGCCCTTGTGAAACAAAGTGTACTTGAAATTTTTACATATACCTATGTATAGATCGATTTGATTCCCGATGTGACACCCTGTATATTGTATATTTCATCAATGATTCTGATTTATGAAACAAGAAAAAACAACTTCAAATTGCGGTAGCTACTTGAAAAGTTCGCCAATTTACCAAACCCACTCTAAAATTATTCACGATTACGTTGGTCTCAACAACCTAATTAGGAAAGTTTTCCTGCACCTGAGTTCAGGGCTATATGGAATGGTATATTATCCAAATTATTATTCATAAGAAAAGATGATTTGTGTGTCAGATCTCTACTAATTTAACCAATAATCAAATTATATAGTTGATGCATAAGCTGTATGCTAAAGTTACGAAATCAACACTTACCAATACTCCTATTAACATCTTCATCGTCAACTCCTTGTGGATTCAATTTATACTGCAACGAATTTATCTGCGATATATTCAGCTCCAATGCAATGACCTCTTGCGTAAACACTTCAAATCTCTTCGGCTGGAACTTGGTATCGCGCGATATTCTTTCACCATGTTTAAGTAGACTTAAAACGCGACTTTCTGCATCGGGTATGGCTGAAGACAAGTTTTCGATTTCGTCTACTAGACGACAGATGGCGGCGTGGGATAGTATTGGTACTAGGAGTTCCGATATTTGGCTCATGGTTCTAAAATCTAGAGAAAAAAACATAAGTGAATTTGCTTTGAAATACATAGACATTTTTAGGCTCACCTAAAAATTGTAGAACTTTTTCAGCTTCCCTAGTATCATCAAACAAACGTTTTTGTCTATTTGCCGGTACTGGCCTGGCATTTTCCCACATTTCTACCCAAATATTATCTTCAAGTTGCATTCTAGGACTCAGTGTGCCCTTTTTTTGTCCATGTTCATCCAATTCCTCACTTTCGATCCAATCTCTAGGAGAATACCTAGACAAAATGGAGCCTTTTATTTGTAGTTATTATTCATTTGAAGATTTGAATCAAATAAAAATTTAAAATTAATTTTACCATCTGATAAAGTCCTCAACTAGGGAACCGGGATTAGCGGCCTTAAACGATTCCATATCTGATAAGAGGCTCGCGCTCATTATTCTTGCTCTCAACTCGGAAGCTTCTTGATTCGTGCCCAACTTTAAAAGAATATCTGAAAGAAATAGCAGCATTATTTAAGTGTTTGTGTTTGAATATTCATTTATTCTAAGCTTTAGAACTAAGTTTAGCACTTGCTTTACGCCAATGAAATGCACGTCATAAACTATTTTAAACTCTGTTAACTTAATATTCGCAAGTTTGCGCTTTCAACGAGACAAGATTGTTAAATTCTCAAACTTCCTTTGCAACTAGTTTCCCAATTAGCAAGCTAGTGCGGTCCATTTAAATGGTTGTTCGATTAGGTCACTTTGTTAACGTGTATGTGCCAAGAACATGCATAGTTGTTGATTAAATTTGAAGCTCATATATGTAAATACTATCAAGTTTAACAACATTTTAGTATTGTTACGAAATTGGATTGGTGTGGGGAGCCTGATACCGATGAAATCCCGTAGGAAGAAGAGAGTAAGTCAGGGTAAATAAGAGAAATGTATAAAGCTAACTAAAAGCGATAAAGTGAACTTCATAAAGTTGGTGTATTCAGTAAGGACAGTTTTACTGGTCCTGAAAAATTTATGACACTATTATTCACTTACCAGTATCTTCCTCCAACTGATCCTCAGTCTTCAAGACAGGATCTTGGGTGAAAGGAATGTACAAAGGATCGCCACTATTCAACAATTTCATATCACCAAATTTACTCAGTCTACCAGCAGGTTTATCCCACAAAGAGTATTTTCTCTTATCTTCTTCCACGTCATCTGTAGCATCGAAAAACTCATCATCGGAATCTTCCGAATTTTCCGCTGAAGAATACTTGACAGTTTCCCTAGTGATTTTTCGTTCGAGGCAGCAATTTAGCATTTGCAGTTTCTGGTTGAGAAGGCATGTGCGTAAGTCGGGCATTCCAGGTGTTACTCTGAAATAAATGGTTACTAATTAGGAGAAATTACACAATATGTGTATTTTTGCACAGCAAAAATTCCTATAAAATGTCGTAAACAAAGCCGTTCACGTTATTAAAAACAATTTCCTCTTTAATAGTTTGCTATTACGGTAATCTATGAGAACTGGAGCACGTTGCTTAATATTTTTACAGTATGTACCTATACCTTTCAGCGCAACAATAGGAAAATAAAAATAATGCATATCAATTTTATAATATAAGGAATAATGATCGTAGCTAAGAAAAACCAATTTATGAAAAAGCATTAATTACTCGAATGAGGCTTTGTCGCCTTCGTTACGGTTCACTGCTGAATGTTTGGCTCTCAAAATCACGAGATTGTATTAAGGTTAGTTTCTAGTAATTTTGTAGATCATTATCATTAGGTTAATGCCTATACGGATAACTAAAAGTACCAAGGGACATATAGTTTGTGAATAGTTTTTGTCCCAAGAGCGTTTATAGAGGTACATTGTAAAGCTCAAAAGCAACAACGTCGTTGGAGATGTTATTCCATTACGATTAAATCTGGATTAGAAAATATATATTTATTATAATAGCAATAAGGCTATTGGTTGTTTAAATTACTACTCTAAAATTAACATGTACGGAATTTGTCACATATTGAAATAAAGATAAAACAAATATTGATATACATTACGTGAGAACGATAAAACGAACTATTCCGTATCAGAAAGATTATTGTCCCAATTATTACATCATGCAAATCGTTACGATTATAGGAAGTGATACACGACTTGCAGTTTTAAGCTCATTTGAAAATAAAGGCATATAAGATAATATTTAAGGTATTATCATAATTTAACAAGATAATATTGCCTTGTATACTTAATTTCACCTTTTGAATCAGGAGTTACATTTGGAACTGTCTTGAATGAGGCTATGGTAGTTATACATATATGAACAGATCCTTATTTTTGCTTATTGATCGTGTCCCTTTCCATACAAAATTTGAGTTTCTGCGACCGTGCTCGACTAGCTTGCACTTTAAGAATTGCATATTTCCAGGCAAGTTAGTAAGACCTAAGTACTTGCTCTTTAATATAATTGGCAAGCTGAGACTTTCCAGATTCCCTCATAAATCCATGCTTATCAAATAAACTAGCTGGAGATGAGCAAAGCTCGTAACGGAAAACCTCAAGCAAATCGATGCCACTGGTCTGAGCACAAAGCAACAGACGCTGATATAATAGTTCCGATTCAATAACAATGGTTTCTCCTTTTAACTTGACAGATTGCACTGACTGCATTGGTTTCACCTGTTTGCTTTTTCTGAAAGAGAACTCAGATACTTTTTTGCCAGTTATATCATCAAGAATTTCCAATTTCTTCTATTAATTCAGGATTTACATCACCTCCATAAGTAACTCCTGCAATATTCGACAGATTGCTGTCTCGCTCGAATACATTGAGCTTTTCTACATATACCATCACTTTTTGTGTATCGCATGCAATTTTTGAGCTGGTCATAGTAACATGTTGCTTCACTGAAGCAAATTCCTGCATGCATTCATTCAAATGGGCGCAAATATGACGTGACATAACCCAGACAAGCTTCTGCTGTGTACCTTTTCCATGAGTCATTCCTCTGAATCGTTCTATGTTGCTCATTGGAACTTGTTCAATAACCAAATCAGTGGAAAGGCACCCCAAACCTATCAACTCTACGGACAACATGCAGACACCCCAGCTCTGTATACATCGGAGCTTCAAATTCTAGCTCAACCATTCTCTCATAGTAGAGCTGGCATATGAATTATGGCCACATGCTGCAAAAAAAGGTAACATCTCCTTTACCATTGCGAGGTTTAGGTGCCAATTTTTTGTTCTTTCAGCTTTTAAGAAATTTTCCAGGAAACCATTTCCAAATACCGCAACCCAACCAAAGTCGAGTTCTGTAAGTTTTAAGTTCTTCTTTGGCCTTCGGCAGTTTGTTTGAAATTTCAATAACAGCCTCATTTGCTACTTCCCCAGTAGACAACTCCTCATTAAGAAGACGATTAGATAATGATCTAGCAGCCTGTACGTCGTCCTGATCATCTAGAGCTTGTGTTGCCAGAATCGTGTTCAAGACAGATAAAACAATGAAATTACCACGAACTGCTCTTGCAATTGCTTTCCCAGAAAGCATGTGCTCCATAGCATTTCAAGAATATCTGCCAAGCCTGCTCCACTCATCAAAAAACCTATGCATCCAAGAAAACTCATGATTGTGTGTAGACCTCCGAGTCTCCTTCCTTAAAGGACTATCCTGTGGTTCATTAGCCGTGATGATGCTAAGTGCTTTGTGGAAAATGGGTTCGTCGAATGTTATAATAGGGTACTGGCTGTATCGCTTGGCATAGTCAGAAACAAAATGAAGCATTGAGAGAATACACGTCTCATTGGTAGGATCCATGTTAATCATTGGTAGAAAGATGACAGATGATACACCAGGATGGTTACCTTGATGTAGTAGTTGGCATACACCTTGCCATCCTGGAGAATTATTGTTGCTGAGAAAATGTGAAATGTTCAGTAAAATATCCAGGTTTGCAATTGGGTCACTGTACGCAATATCCTTAATGATATTATACGTTTATGAACGCATCCCACTGGCCAGTGAATAATATGTCTTTGTCGGGATTTGCCCCAACCTCCTTCTTCAAATGGAACTTGGTGTTTCTTAATGACCGTTGAAAATTTTCCAGCTGGAGTGACAGCCGCGATAACGCCCATTCTACGAAAAGTACCATAGTGAAGTGATCAATAATTATCAGCTGTATATTGCACGAATTTCTGAGGACTTTCAGAAGGTTCTAGAGGAACAGGTATGGTAGTTCCTCTTTCCAGAGCGGCTGAACGTTCGAAACGAATAACTTCGGAATAGGAGCTACAGAATCCTATATGATTTACCGCTTCAACTACAAATCTCGAGCTTATGCTGTCATATAATTGCCAGTCCTATTTCCAATGATGCATCTAAGACCCGTGGGCGAACTGCTTGCATAACTGCCTGGCCTATAAAAGCAACTTTTTTTCCCTTGTTGGTTTTACCAGTAACTGAAACTGATGATAATATCCTCAAGGAATCAGGAATATAGCTTCCATTAAAGTCAACCCTACAGGGATATCTTCAATTTCATTTATTATTTCAACAGTTGCCATAATGACATTTTTTCGATCCTCTTTCACATATTCATGCTTTTGCCTGTGGTACTCTTTCAGCACATATGTAGCTGTACTTTTAAAGGTAACGTCATCAGCAGTGCCTGTAATTAATTGTTTTCTATAAAAATATTATTTCCAAAATGCTCTTCCAGTTTTCATTTGATATACCTACCTACTGTGGACAATATGGTTCACTATTCTCTGGCAATAATTCTCGCATTTTTGCAACAAGCTCTTTTACAGTAGTTTACTCTACATAAGTTTTTTCCATATATTAAGCTACTTGCAGAAAAATTTCCTGTCGGACTGAGTCCTCTGGGTCACCCGAATATGTTGTAGTCAGAGGGATATCAGTGGAATGCACTGGAATCAATTTTTTCACTATGAAAATTGACAGAACACTGTTTGTAATAACATGCATCTACAGCATGTAAATCAGACATAGAGATGGAAAATTCTCGAGAATAATAATAAAAAAAAAAAAATATTCTCCAGAATATTCTCGAGAATATTCTCAAATTTGAGAATTTTCTGAGAACGTCTTTTTAAACTGATATCAACTTAATTATAGACAATTATTACACAAGATTATGGCTATCAGGTTATAGGGGCTAAAAAAAAAACATAGAAATACCTATTGAAATCAGAAATCCAAGATTGAAATCTAAAATTACGTCTTGACCATGTCAAGATTGCCATAATTTCTCATTTCCGACTCCTAAACAAGAGAGGAAAATGTTTCTTTTCCTCCTGTTAGGGGCGCAATCTTTTTTTCTGATGAGGCGATGAGCAGTCTATCTTTGTCTAGTATGTAGGAATTTGAAATAACTGACTCATGTTATGAGGATATGATGAACACAAATTCAAATTCCATTTTGGTAACTAGCAAGGGTGACCCCTCTCGAGCCAAGGTCTTAAAACTTGACGTCATGATTTCTGATTTGAAAATGTGAATACAAAAAGAGTCAAGACTTGTGTCGTGACTTGAAATCACCTAAAACTAGGGCATTGATTCGACTTTTTGTATTTGCCAGTAAAGGTGGAATTCATGCTAGTAATTTTGCAAAGAGCAGTTGGCAACACTGGTTTCGTGTTACGTAAACGCGACGCGGTTAGGTGGGAGAAGGTTACCATGGGAATTTTCTAGTAGTGAATATTCTCGAGAATATTCCCGTTCTCAAGAATATTCTCTCGAGAATATTCTCCCCTCACATCCCTAATCAGACACATTTTCGATACGTCATTTAACTTTGCCTGTCTGTCTGTTTATCTCTATCTTAAAGCTGATGATTTGAATTCAACTGTTCATGCGTAAAACCAACCATTTATCAAACACCCAGCCCCAAAACCTAATTCAGAACCCAGCAGAGAACAAATTTTCTTCAATCAAACTCCAACCAAAATTCCCAGAGCCCACCACAACCGCGAATCAGTGAGTTCAAAAAAAAAATTATTGGCCAGTAGTACCCATGATACTCAGAAATGTCCCACAACCCAAATTTCCAATGCAAACCTTAAAAACACTAGCGCAGCGAAACCAAAAGGAACCGCTTGGGTATTTCTCTTACCCCAAACTCTCCATTAAACCATCACAACATCACAAACAATTTGCGGCAGTAGAAATTTGAATGTCACATATACTTCCTGCCTGAAGACAAACTTTAAAACGACACCATGAGGAGTGTTGATGGCACCCGAAACCTTCCCGAAATTGAAGAGGAACTTAAAGACATGGGCTTCTCCTCTAGAGAAATTCAGAGATTTAAGCCTAGTCAAAAGTACGATCTAAAGACTTCCTCACTAGTCAAACTTCTAATTCCCCCCACATGCCAGTCACAATCGAGCTCCAAAAATCCCAAGGCCACATCAAAACCCACAATGCCTTAAATGTCAAGAATATGGCCATTATCTAAAAAACTGCAATTCCAAAGCAAGATGTCACAAATGTACGGGCAATCATTTCTACTCGCAGTACGCCCAACACACCCTCCCAAATGCGTAAACTGTGGTGAACCACAGCCTGCTAGCTACCAAAACTGTCCCTACCCAAACCGAAATCCCATCCGCCCCCAAAAGAGTAAGACCTAGTTCAGAAGCCCGGCCCAATAGTATGCCAGCAAGGATCATCTAGCCAGAGCCCCACGGCTCGCCCTTCCTCCCCAATCTCCTCTCTGCTGTGCCTCTCAGAATCCGAGCTTGACGCTACTAGCCACCAAAATCAACAACAACCCCACCCTAAGAGCACTAACACAATTTTCCTAACAATGATTCCAGGCGTTTCGAAGCCCTCTGTCTGGATTTTTCACTGCTTCCTGAAACGCAAACTCGCTACTAAGAGACAGGAATTTGCAAAATTTCCATACGAAAATGGCGTCGACATAGCGCTAGTACAGGAAACTTGGTTAAGGCCTCACTACCCGACTACTCCATCTACAGAAATGGCAGACTAAACGGTGATGGAGGTGGCACAGCCATTTTCAATAAGTCACAAATACCCCCATGACAAAATAGCTTTCGGGGCGTCGGAGAACGTGGAACACACTGCTATCAGGATGGATCTCTCCTCCGGAGCCTTGAGAATTATTAGCGCATACAGACCCTTCAAAAACCACTTGACCGTGAAAGACCTGGACCTGTGGTTCAACCACTGCCCTACTATTGTAACCTTAACTGCAACAGCATGTAGGGATGCAAACATGTCGGGTACTCTACTACGAGACCACAGCCTAACAAAACAAATTACAATACACGCACCTGACGAACCCACTCACTGTCACAACATCACCCCCGGAAAACTAAACTGTCCAGAAACGTCCCCTATAACATTGTCATCGACACTTCTTACGACATGTGCTCCGACCACGAACCAATCTGTCTCAAAATTGGGGGACTGTTGCATAACAATGGCCTTCGTACCCACATCTTAAACAACTACCTCAAATTCAAAAAAAATCTTGAGGAAACTCATGTCCTCCTTTTCGCATCACACACACCCAACGACATTGACCAAGCCATAGCAAACTTCTCCCAAATAAATCCGCAACTCCCTGAAAAACATCAATACCACCAAACCGACAAACTGCATGATAATTACAATCTTTTCCATCTCTCACACCAAATTTTTATCAGCTTCCTAAAATCCAGAAAATTCCGAGTTATAATTAACAGCCACCTCTGAAATATCAGGCCAATAGAAGCAGGGTTTCTACAAGGAGCAATCTTGCCCCAGTTCTATACAACCTCTTCACATCAGACATCCCCGCAAATTCCCATACAAAAATTTCACGCAGACGATACCTGCATTTTAGCCACTAACAAAAACCCTGCAGTCATCCGCCGCCCAATATAATCACACCTAGACCAAATTGCTGACTGGGCAAATCTTTGGAAAATCGATCAGATCAAATATCTCGGCCTGATTAACTTGAGAACTTCATATAAATCATAAAGCCATTAAATCTACCAGGCTGTCCAGCATGCTCTATCACTTGCTAAACAGGAAATCTGAGCTCCACCTTAGAAACAAACTCTCAATTTACAAACAAGTGATCAGATCATCACTGCACGGTGCATTCTTTTTGTATCAAGCCAGCAAGACTCACAAGACGAAACTCCAGAAGTTCCAGAACGAGATACTTCGCAGGATGGTTGGTGCGCCATGGTACGCCCGCAACGCGGAATTGAACAAGGACCTTGGCATCGACTCAATCTAGGAGTTTCTTGTTGGGAAACACACCAGATTCCTTGACAATATCACAAACTACGCAAAACCCATCATACAATCATACACACACCAAATCCGAACAGAATCATCTGCAGGAACCTGTCCGCCCCAATAATAACTTTCAACCTTTGACACCGCTATCCAGCAAATTTTCCACCAACTCTCCGCCCCCTCCCATTTCCTGACCAAATCAACTCCCAACGTCAAAAATCATTTACAAAAATCCTAAAAAGCAATTAGTACACCCCACTTACGCTCATTATTGCAAAAGAGTGCTCTTGCACTGCCGCAAAGGGGTGGTTGTTTTAGTGAGTAAAAATCTCACACTACCTATTCACTTGTTTAAGGTTTCAACCATCCATAACAAAAAGAAAGGCTCAATTCTGTCCCCATGTGGCAAGAAACCCCATATACAGCTTTGTGAATGATAGTTACTTGATGGCATCTTTTTCTTTTGACAAACCGCTTACTACAGCCATTTCCACACGCTGCCTCGCCGGAGAACGGAAGAACAAATTCACTCTATCAACAGTGATCTTGACATTATCAATTAACAACTGGGGCCTTCGCAACCTAGTCAAATCCAATGCTTCCAAAACTCAAGGAACAGTATTTTCAAATAAGGAATCTTCTGCCAATGATAACCCAGTTTTAAGGGTGTCGGGAAAAAACCTTTCTATCGAACCCTCAGTATCTCTTCTTGGGGTGACCGCATCGAAATTGGTCGATGCGGTCACATCGCACGCAACTCGAACTTGCCTATGGTGCGACCTCGTCCACATGCCCGAAAATCGTCTTCTACGACAGATTCTCTATGGTCAAGTGAAGGAGGGAAAACGAAATCAAGGTCAACAAAAACGATACGCAGATGTTCTTAAGGAAAATATGGCAAAGTGCCACATCGATACCAGCAAAAGATAGTCTCTTAAGGCATCGAGCAGTCCACGACGGACCACAAACTTTTGAAGAACAGCGACGCAGACACGAGACTCAAAAGAAGGACCGCAGGAAGGAGCGAGAGACCAGAGGAAGACAATGCTGCCAGAGACTGGGTCTGCCAAGAATGTGAAAGAGTGTGCGGCTCCAGAATTGGTTTCAGAAAACGCACAATGGATGACAATGAGAATAGAACAGAAGATAATCATGCTCGGTATCGAGTGACCGCCTATGACGATGATGACAATGCTTTGCTTTTAAGCTGTTCGGAACTGCATTCTTGATCTGGTCAAAATCGGAGGCTTCTAACAAGAACCTTTTGTGTGCGTTTGATTCGGAAATTGTGCTGTTGTGTGTTGTAACGTCTCTATTGCAGACTGAAAGTCCCCAGAAGGAGAGCGAGATTTTAGCCGTACTCTATAGTTACGTTTGAAATGTCTTCTTCTGAGCAGTGACATTCAGTGCCCCGTTTCAAGTTCTCTTGATTGCTTCTTCCCACTAACGACGTATTTCTTCCAGACGTTTGCTTATTGGGTGCTCAATTTCCTCTTTTGGTTCAAATTTTTCTTCCATTATTGGAGCTTTGATTAGAGCTTTGCTGTAACTTGATGGTTTGGTTATGAACTACATTATCTGTACATCCATACCTCTAATTCCATTGATAACATTGTCGGTCACGAGTTTCCAAATTTCAGATGGCGGATATCGGTTTACAAATTCTTATAAACGTTCTACATCTTTCTGTTGTCTTCTTAGTTTAACCTGATAAGCCTGCCTTTGATGTTGGTCCCAATATGTTGAAATCATAAGCCGATTGATTAATTGATCTCTATAGATCTACACACATACAAACAATACAAACTGCAGCGGTGGCGGCAACGACGGCGGCGCATCGCCAGACGCACAGACGCGCCTACGAAACCCGTCGTGTGCCATCTCGGCGACTTCAATGACCCTTTTTGCGCAACAACACAACTAACTATTGTTCTTTCTAGCGGAAAAGAAATAATTAATACACGCTGTTACCGTTTATGTGTTTAGTTGTGTTTAGGTGTTTTGCTGTGTTTATCGAAAACGTTCACGCATCCGCTCGCCTCTATGAAGTACTGCGGAACGCGGATGCTGGCCTATCTTGCACAGGCGGCATCTTTAGAGAAAGTTTTGAAGGAACAACAGCAACACCAGCAACTAGAGTTAGAAAGAAGTAGTGGGGACCACGATAAGGGAGAAAGAGATCTGAAAGGAAATGGTAGTATTAGCCCACAAAGCTCAGACCCGCGAGTTCAAAGCCAACAATTCTTCAGCAGCAACAACAGCAACATCAGCATCATCAGTTAGCAGAATTGAGTAAGAAACAGATGGAATAGACTATCTCATTCAGGAAACCCCAACCTACAGAATTCTCATAAAGAGATCGCTTTAACAGCTTGATATTCAGCAACAACAAATAATTCAACAGCTACAGCTAGTTCAAAGGCAGTACGTTTTTCATCAAGGTATGGGTATGCAGCCATTATTGATTGCTCAAGGACAAGGATTTAATTCACGAGATGTAATGAGCCCTTGGCAAAAAATTAATGATCAGCAACATGTGATTAACAATAAACCACCTACTCAAATTAATGAAAATAATTCAGGACTGCTCAGTATACAAAGTTCGATCACGGAAGAAAAGTTTGGTAGAGCTGTGACTCCAGCAAGAAATCATCATCTGCTTTATGTACATGGAGTTTGTAAATGGTCTGGCTGTGAGACTAGTTGTGACGATATACAGGCATTTATCAAGCATTTAAATACAGAACACACCTTAGATGACAGGTCTACCGCGCAGGCCCGTCTGCAAATGCAAGATGTATCTCAATTAGAGCTTCACTTACAAAAAGAAAGAGATCGATTGCAAGCGATGATGCATCATCCAAACTTATCCAAACAGCTAGGTTCTCCCGATCCTCATAAAGAATCTATGGGACAGGTGCCACCAAAAATGCCAGTTAGTTCGGCGGTACCACCTCCTCCTGTAAATATGAGTCCCATGGTATATCTGCGGTACGATCGCCGGTATTACATTCGCCGGCTCAGAATGTAACAGTCCCCATAGGAAGAAGACTGAGCGACAAATCAGCTCTGTCATTGGCAGGCGAAATCCAAAGAAATAAAGGATTTTACAAAAACGCTGACGTTAGACCTTCTTTTACCTCGCTTATCAGACAGTCGATCATCGAATCTCCTGATAAACGACTTACACTTGATGAAATTTACAATTGGTTCGTCTTAAAGTCCAACAAAGAACCATAGCCCTGCTAGATGCAGATCATATTATGTCGGACCTGGGGTTTATGACGGGGTGAGAATCAAAACTAGAGCCAAGTACAAAAATAGAAAAGTGTATTTAAAATCAAGCTTACCACAAATACATGTCAGATATGGGCATGGGCACTAATAATTTTCACAGGACAAAAAGACACTATTATTACTGACTAACTAACGCGGATAATTCTTGGTCTGTAGACTCCCCTTCATCTTCTCAAAAAAAATTATTTCATATTAATGCCGCGACCATGTCGCGTGATCACTGATTATAACAACTATCGCTGAACTGTCGTTGACATTGACCTTGCATTGGTTTAGGTTCCTCATGTAAATTAATAATTCGTTCAACTTGCATCTAAGCCATGGCAAAGCCTGCAATCTTGACAAACTCCATAAATGCTACGGATATTTTCGAGGATATTTCATGTGAGACTTCGGAATGGCTTCCAGGCTTTATTTTGTACCACATTTCATTTCAGAGTTGAGTTTATTATAGTCCAAGACTCAGGGATCAGGATGGCGATTCCAACGAAATTATCGTTAAGCTCTTTATCATGTAATTTAATAAAGATTAAACCTATTGTTTCAAGAATACAAACAAAATTAAAAGTAGGAAGCACCAAGCTTTTCTCGCTCTGGTTATCTTCCACCAGGCAATTTATAATATCTATACAATTTGCGTCAAAACATCCTCCCCGGATAAGCAAAATGTATGATTTACCGCCACGAAATGAGAAAAAAGAAAACATCAATTACGTGTTTACCGAAATGTGCAGGTTCGGAGATGATGCGGTTTTCAAAAAATTGGCAATGATTTTCTCGCGTTTCTCTTTCATGGGACCGCATGAATAATTCATGTAGGACAGCACGACCACTTTTTGGTAAACAAATAGATGCTGTTTGGAAATTGAAAATGAGTTTGATACGGTTTGGTAGGTAATCGTTAGGGTTTTGAAATACGATCAAGCAAATATTAAGTAAATTGAAATGTTGGTTTTTCTTATAGAAGTTCGGTTAGTTATGTATGCAAAGTCTGGCCCACAGTTTAGTATGCTAATTTTTAAATTAACTACAGAGCCAATAAATTGTAGCATCTCATTAAGTTTGGTTCTAGATAAAAAGAAAGCAGAAATCTCATCAATTGACATTAATTCATCAACCAATCTTGTTAAAACAATATTCGTCGTTTATTGTTCAAATCATACAATATTTTTTTAGTGGAAAGCCACAGGTGCATTGCCCACAATAATAGACTTCGAGGTACGTGATCGATAGTTATATTCCGTTATATAAATATTAGTTCCAGCCATAATTTATACAGACTGTATAAGACATGAAAAACTGTAAAAATACAACTTTGATTATTGTTATCATTGAACCGGAAACTTCAAGCAAAATCAGTGCTATAGTATTTCTTTAAAATTCATACATTCTTATGTATAGATTCTTTATTGTTATGTTGTCCAATTTTATTGGAGCGACACGTTTTGATGGAAGGAATATAAAACCGAAGAGTTGGTATGCTTTCGCTTATATCGCACTGACAAGAGCTAATAAGCTCAAAACCGGTTTCATGGAATTAGCGCAGCATCCAATGATCGAGAATTCAGTTTCTCTCCATGGTAGAGCAAAATCACGTTTTGTGTAATCTGGCCGTCACCAGAACAATACAAACTCATCGTGTGGCTTACACTCATGGCTGGACACAATATAACCAACACATATAAGTTTCTGAAAAAGTTTTTTTTTCACTTCAAACTAATATCCACCACACGCAAAGCGTATGTAGTGCAGTTTTAAAACAGTTATGCCCATACGGCCAACAATACCAGCATAACCATTTCATTTCAATTTAATTTGCATCAGTAAGTTTAAAGGCCATTGTTCTTTGAACGCGCATCTGCTGAAACTTTATACCTACGCCACGTAATATATTATTGAATAAGTGGATAATAACTGATTTAATTGACGTGTTGCTTGGCAATAAAATAAAGAGGAGGGAAATTAGTTTTGGAATTTGGAAGCAAAAGTTCTTGAAATGTCATTATGCTCCTATAGAATACGAATTGCACATTTTCTCGAGTGAAAAAAACAACAGTGGGAACAAGATCAACTTAAACGAGAAAAATCGAAACCGCATCAGATGCAGTAGACCTCGGCACGAAGTCTCAAGGATATAAAATTAGATCCGAGAGGCAAATGTCTAATATCGAACGAAATCCCATTTTATGGCGTAAGCGCCTATTTGTCACGATTCCCGCTCGAAATTGTACCTTCCATATCGTCGTAGCCACTCTTATGGAACAGTCATGTTTTTAACTATCCATCTTCAGAACCGCCCAAGGCATTTTATTGGGAGCCTAATGGCATCGCGAAAAATACTACGACTTAAAAACTAGATTTGGTTTTAATGCGTCAAGTTATTCGCATTGTTTCGTCTGTTGTTACATGAGAAATTGCATTGTTGGTGTATTGGAAACGGGCAAATAATTTTGGTATAGGATGGCGTTCTTCGATGGCCTATCCGAACAAGAAAAAAATCTCCCTTTGGGTCTTCTAACCCAAACATTGCACCTAATTGGTTGTAGATGTACCGTCACCATAAATTTGGGAGTATAGAACTACATACGCGTTTCGGTTTGCTTACACCTCGTCATTGCAGTGTAGTAGGATCCACAACGCAAATCAGAGAAAGTCTACCGGGTAAATCATATTAGAATGAATTACGCAGTTTTAATAGAAAATGGCGCCCTTTGCTGGCTTATCCGAAAAAAGGGTGGTTATGTTCAAAATTTTAAAATTTCTCTTCTTCTAATAGATGGTACTGAAATGTTGGGTAATGTCAATACCCACAAGAGTGCACTGGAAGGTGAAGAGCTTCTCTTCTGTTCTCAACCGTCCACCTGGCACCGGTTTCTCGAAACTAGATAGCAGGGTTCTTATGAGAACGAGTGCCCTGTCCTTCTTAGTTCCGTGCAAAATCTAATATCAGTTATCAGTGACATAGACAGGAGACATTCTGTTCCTATGAGAATTGAGAAAGCTGCTCTCTTTTTTCAAGCAAGAGGCGCCGTGACTTATAATCTCTTATCGTCATTTTATCGTTTTCATTCATTATGAGTTTCATTTGAAGGTTTAATTTCTATTCTGTCTTAGTAAAATTTAACTTTTCAACTTCAGGAATGTGCATTTTGGGCTTGGCTCGAGTCGAGTCTTATCTGTTTTGGTCTTGAATCACAGCCAAATTCATCTAAAAAGTTAGTACGGTTCATTTATGATTTTCTATTTTTTTTTTTTAACTTCATCATCCACAAGAAGAAATATTATAATATGTAGGGTCGTATATCAAGCAGTAAAATCAATTTATAGTCGATATTAAACAGAATTTATAGTTCTCCCTCTATGTTCCGTAAGTTTATAGTTACCCCATCAAAATTTTATAGGTTTCCAGTATTTCTCGAAAATCTGGACCAACCAACCTGGGAGTTGTTACTCCTAGATATGTACTTCTTAAATATGTCTGATTTATACATAAACCTTAGGTTTAGAGAGTTTAAATGTTGTAATAAACTTCGAATTTAATCAGTTCTATATGTCTAGTACTAGACTAATTTTAATTTATATACCTAAGTCATGTTATGTTTGTCAAGTTTGTTCACTTCTGGTCGACAAAAGACTAATTAAATTATCGGCTTTCCTTGAAAAATGTGTTCTTTTAAGTGAATAAAGCGGTTAAAGGAAATTATCTGTGTGTGCCTTGTAAAAGGTCTTCCAAGAAAAAAATATGAAGACAATTAAATGACGATTGTTGTGTTGTATTTGAAAATGAAAACAGATCCGAAAAATATTTCCCAGAAGAAAACATCGAAAAGCAAACCAGGCTTGAGAAAATCTTGAAAGGGCAAGACAATAGATTCATAAATGCCATGGGAGAAGTACGTGAAGTTAGGAGTGTACCTTAGGAAATTGGAAGTGTGCATCAGGAAGTGGAACTTTTGAAATGAGAAAGTTAGAATGTGACTTGAGATCGGAAAGTATCTATCTATCATCTGATGCTATCAAAACAAAACTTCTAGATATGGAAGGCAGTGAAGTCAGTAACGCAAACAGTGCATTTTTTACAAAAGGTGGCAAACCCTTTCATAGAAAAAAGAAGGAGATTTCAACCAATGAAAAAAAGACTGTAAAGAATATAGACATTATAAATCAAACTGTACAAAACCAAGAAAAAAACAAAGCTGACAATAAACACAAAACAAAAATTGAGAATACTTTGTGCAGTGTGGTTTTCTTAAGTGGTGAATACAAGAAAACAGATTGGTATATTGACAGTGGCGCAAGCATGCATATTCAGCTAATAAGTGAAAAATGTCCATCTCTTATAAAAGAAAAGTGGCCAACAACACAGCAATTCCAGTAATCCATTGTGGTTATGTCAAGCTTGGCACAATTGTCAATAGCAAGTCACATGACATACTTATTCAGAAAGCTCTCTGTGTGCAAGATCTTACCACCAGTTACTATCGGTAAGTCAATTAATCAAAAACGGTAACTATAGTTATTTATGCAACAAGTGTGTAAAGTAAACCTTTTCTCACGAATGTGAATTTTGACGCACGAGCCGAAGGCGAGTGCGACAATCACATGAGTGAAAAAAGGTGCTTTACGCACGTATTGCATACAAATTTTTTTCTACTACCAATCAAATATGTGTGAAAAAATAGATTTGGACAAATACTTTACGAACTAGTGCGTGAAGTACTTTCACTTTATGCA